GCTTGACGTCGTTCCCAATAACAATGTCCATCACTAAGCCGTGGTCTTGAGTACCACTCAGGTAGCGTAGCACCCTCTTTCCCATAGCGTAGTGTGTGTGGTCGAAGCAGGACAGGTACTTGCTGAGATTACGCACAGCGTGCGCAATGTCCGGCCTTGAGGCTGAGACCAGATATTGTAGTGCACCAACGAGCTCTCGGTACGGGGGCGGGGAGTCATCTTTCGCATCTGTGACCACCTCAGCGCGCAGCGCTTCCGGTGTTGCAACCGCGTTGCAACCCTCCATGTGAAATCGCTTTAGCACCTCCGTAATATGTTGCCGCTGGCAAAATACCGCATGTCGACGCTCGCTGTCGATCAGTATCTCCACGCCTAGTAGATACTTGACTGGTCCGAGAGATGTGAGTTCATACTCCTCACTGAGTTGCTTAGCAACCTTAGCGCAAAGGTCACTAGGGCCGAGGAGCAGTAGGTCGTCGACGTACACCGTGAGCAACATGGTGACTTCCCCTCCCACTTTCCTGGCGTAGAGTCCGTAGTCAGAGTCGAGGCGCTCGAGTCCGATCTTCGTCAGGAACTTGTGCAATGTCTTGTTCCAAACGCGAGGCGCTTGCTTTAGCCCATACAAACTCTTCTGTAGCTTGCATACGTAGCGCGTAGAGTCTTCTCCGAAGCCTGGAGGCTGCTCCATGTAGACCTCCTCGTCGAGGTCACCGTACAAGAACGCGGTCTTGACGTCGAACTGCAAGATGGCCCATCCGCGTTGCAGCGCGTATACGATCACGCATCTGATCGTCTCAAATCTGATAACAGGTGCGTATGTTTCACTGTAGTCGATGCCCATGCGTTGTAGAAAGCCTCTGATCACTAGTCGAGCTTTATATCGCTTAATCCGGCCCGTAGAGTCTCTCTTGAGCGCGTACACCCACTTGCACGAAATGACACGCTTGCCCTTGGCCTCCGTGCGTCGCACGAGCACCCAAGTTTCGTGCTGCTGCTGTGAGTCCATCTCAACTTGCATCGCTGCTTTCCACTCCTTCCACTTCTTTGACCTTGCCGCATGCTTGTGACTAATGGGGATCTGCACATCCTCGACGTTCTGCTTCGTCACATTCGTCACTACGTAGTCCTTGAGTCGGGCGGATGGTTGTCGCTTCCGCTTCGGTCGTGACGTAGCTGCACTGTCGTCTGGCGACGACTTCTGCGTCGTGCATGGCTCCCAGTTCTCGTCTTCGTGAGCATCACGTCGACTGTCCTTGGCCTTCGAGGCTCCCACTCGATTTGCACATGCTTTCGCTTTATTCTTGCCTTTTGTGTTCTTCCGCTTGGAACCTCCCACTGAAGCTGCTGGCTTCTTAGCGTCCTCGCTTGGTAGCTGTGGGTCATCACTTCGAGTCGCAGACTCGGCTTCAACTTCAACACCTTGGTCATGGCTCTCACCAGCAGTGGCCAGCTTCGCCATCTCCGCTGCTCGCCTTTCTGCAAGCTCTGCAGGAAGCTGCAGGTACGTAGACATTGTCGTCCGGATCGGCACGATCGGGATCTCCGCAGGTAAGTCGTAGTCTCCGTAAGCGTAGGTGTTTGCAAGAAGTTGCTCAATATACACAGTGTTTACCGTGTACTTCTCATGTGCCTTCATGTTTCCATCTCTGCACGTCGTCACTGATCCTGTGCGCAGGTTCAGCAGCTTATAGCCCTTGGTCTTCTCGCTGTAGCCAAGTAGTAAGCACATCTGCGTCCTTGGAGTGAGCTTCTCCTTTCTCTGCCGAGAATCATCAGGGATGTGCGCGTGCACCAAGCACCCCCACGTGCGCAGCACGCTGAGGTCTGGCCGCTCTCCGTACAGGGCCTCGTACGGGGACTGCTGGTCCTTCAACACCGGCGTCGGCGTCTTGTTGAGCGTCTCAATTGCATGTAGGAAGGCTTCTCCCCATAATGAAACAGGCATTTGCGTAGCTTGTAACATAGATCTGACCTGCCGCATGACGGTCTGGTTCGTGCGCTCCACGATAGCGCTCTCCTGCGGGCTGTAGGGATTGGATGAACGCGTGTCGATGCCGAGGTCCTTGCAGAAGGTCTCGAGCTGCATGTTGACGAACTCGCCACCACCATCGGAGAACAGCGTCTTGATGGTCGCCTTCGGGAACTGGTTCTGGATCCAGCGAATCTGCTTCTGAATCAGCTCCGTGGCTTCGTCTTTGTAGGCTAATAGATATCCCCACTTGTATATCGTAGCTTCGTCGATAATCAATAGAAACTGGTTTGATTTCCGATTATAAAGTATCCACTCCAACACTGCATAGGTCGACACAAAGCTTGTGCAAGGGCTTTGCAGAGCGAGACGGCTTGCGCTTGTAGCTCATGCGCTTCGTCTTTGACTCTAAGCATGGAATGCATTCATAGAGAGCAAAATTCTTCGACTGCATGTTGATGCCAAAGTTATAGGTTCCTGCCATAGTCTTGATAGTCTCCATGTTTACGTGGCCCATGCGGTTGTGCAGCAACGTCATGGGGTTCTCAGCTTCACTGGCCTTGACGCTCATCACGTTCTTGCTCTGACGTGGCGTCCACATGCGGTACATCCCGCGGATGTACTTGAAGCGCAGCTTCAATGTGTCCTTGACCAGCCACGTAGTCTTCTGATCATGCGAGATGCGCACCTTGAAGTTTCCTTTGAATTGCATGTAGGTCTGCGAGATCAGGTTGTAGGCAGCCGACTTGGCGTAGCTCACGTCATCAAGGAGGCGCTCCTCGATCTTGCCCGTGTGCTCGTTCAGCACTTGCATAAGCACTGTGCCCACAGTTGCGCGCTCGGTTGTGCCGTTGCCGAAGACTAGCTCTGCAACTGAGTCTTCGTGTAGCTCCGTAAACAAGGTAAGGTCGCTCGAGACGTTGGTCTGCGCGCCGCTATCCAACACCCACTCCACCATGTCCTGGTCCTTGTCCTTGTCCTTGTAGTTGAAGTTGTCACGCACCGCGAGTACATGCTCTTGTCCTTCAGCTTGAGTCGGTGCAGCCGACTTGGCTGTCTTCACAGTAACCACATCGATCATCCTGCGCGGCGGGTTGCTCGAGTTGTTGTTGTTGTTATTGTTGCCACGCTGGCGGCACTCAGGATCGCCACTCCAATGTCCTTGCTCTCCGCACGTGTTGCACTTCGTCTTCGCCTTTCGCTTGGCGATGTCATCCCTCGCACTGGATGAGCTCTTGCTCTTCTGCCGCTTGTTCCGCCCACGCGGCGATGAGCTGCGGCTGCGACGATTGTTGCGGTTGTTGTTGCCTCGTGCTTGACTGCTGCTCGAGTTTCGACGTCCTCTTCCGTCGTTGTGTCCGTCGCCACGGCCACCAACAAATGCAACATCTCGCTGGACGGCACGTCCACCTCCACCACGTCCTTGCTGTAGCTCAGTCTCTTGGCGTGAGTGGTCAGCGAGTCGAAGGCGCTCGATCGCTTGCTCCCACGTAATGGACTCATCACGTCCAATACGTACTTCATGCTCGTTTACCACCGCTGGGTACACACCCACTGTATTCGACAATAGGATAGAGACGGCTTCCTGCTCAGGCAGCTGCTTGTTCGCGCGGCGAAGTCTCTGTTGGTAGTCGTCGATGTCACGAATGTAATCGTCAAGTCGTTCGTCACGTTGCAGGCGACGATTCAGCATATCTCGCTTGAGAAACACGCTGTTTACTCCAGGATGGTTATCAAAATGATCTTCCAGTGTTCGCCACAGTAGGATAGGATCAGCACGTTGAATAACACTTGTAAATCGCATCTGTAGCTCTTGACTAAGTCCCATCGTAAGTTCACGTTGAGCAACACGCAGTCGTTGCTTGAAACAGCCGCGCTGTCCTTCGTTACGTTGGTCTGCCATCGTTTCGCGCTCCATGATGGGGTCCAAGAGGTGTGCGACGTCGAGAATGGAACAAATCTCGACGCGCCACGTCTGGTAGTTGGTATCGGTAAGTCTTGCGTTCAACTGCACGTGTCCGCTCTGGTTCATGCACCGCGTGCATCTGTGGTCTCCAACCATGGGTTCGTCCGTAGCGGAGTCGGTCCCGGCCTCGGTCTGGACTGGCTGCGCTGCAGCCTCGGACGTTCTTGGGTTTCTTGGCGGCTCGCTCTGACGCGTGCTGGCGTCGGCGGTAAGTTCCTCTGTGCTTGGGTTTCCTCGGCGGGGCCCGTACGGCGTCGGCACTCGCTGCGGTTGTGCTCGAGCCGCTGAGAATTCTTGAATGAGCTGCCTTTGTGAGCGCTTGCGGTAGATGGCTTCCACTGAGAATGTTCTGCCACTGATGTGAGATGGTTCCAGTGTATTCCTAAGACGTTACCGAATTGGGGCACATAAGGAGCTCGAGTTGTTGTTCAACTGGGTTAGATGAACGCTGTGAACTTTGACAGTGTTTTTGTCTGAGAGTTTTTTTTTTTTTTTTCTCTTGCAGGCCAACTGCAACTCGTCGGACGCGCGCGAGCTCTGCGTACTCCGGACTGGGCTTCCAGCTCTCCTTCTTGGGCTCATAACCTGAGTGATGGTCGCTCCTCGGCTACGCCGAGTGGTGACCATTGTGATGAAGGAAGTAGTCGTAACAACAGTAAGTTGCAGGGACTGAACGTCCAGCAGGGGAGAAAACCGAGTGCTGCTGCTTGCTCTTGACGGCGCAAGTTGTCGAGTGTGTAGCAGCACACGGAAAAACCCCGGTAACATATATTGGTAGGATTAGCAGTAGGATGGGGCTGGCGGCTCGCCAGCCAATGGTCCGTCGAAGTCCGGCTTCTGGACGCGAGCATCGCGTCCTGGAGGCACCTGAGCCTCAGGTTTGAGCTGGACGCAGTCCTGGCTCTTCCTCCACACTTCACAGTGGTGAGCAAGGGTGGCGACGTCCGCGACAGTGGAAGGGCGGCATGCGGGTGGCGGATACTGCAGCAACGGTAACAGCGGGGAGGCGGCAGTGGGTGGATGGTGTGGAGAGCCGGGAAGGTGAGGAAAGCACTGCTGGCGATGATCGAGCTGGACGTGGACTGCGCGTTGTTTGACAGCGCTGCCGTGTGGTCGGCGTTCTGGTCCGTGGACGCGGAAGTTCGGGCGTTTGCGCAAGTGTCACGATGTTCCCGCTGCTCCGAGCTTATTAAGATGCAAAAGGCCGGCTTTTCATTCTACCACTCAACTCACCGACTACGGCACAATCACGACGAGTGATATTAAAAACTTTGGCACCGTCCCCTCAACGCAAACATGCCGGCGACGGTGCAGACCGCGACGATTTCCAGCGTTCAGGGATTAATAGAGAAGGCTGCGATGGTGTACTTAACCGACTATAGATAGTATCGGGGTGGCCGCCGTGAAGGCGGGCGTATCCGACAACCAGTGGCCACATTCGCACCGCATGATAGCTGCTGCGTGTGTCAACGAGTTTCTCTCGTCAACCGAGATTTCTCATACATTCGAAGTATGTATGAGAAAAACGTGTGTTGCTCATTCATCGACTACTCCTGTTGTTAGTTCAATAGTACTTCGTCCCAGCGCGTAATGGTAGTGCCATAGCGATGCAAAAATTCAGGCACGTCTGTGCTTCTTGCGCACACCCTTGCCCTGTGATTCCTGCTCAGCAGCTTCACGTTCAAAACGTGACAGAAGCTGTAAGGCTTCGTCTGCCGTCGGCCGAGCACTCGGGTCTGGGTTCATCAACCGATCTAGGAAAAGCGCTCTTTCGGGCTCCGCAGTCCATTCCCGTTCAATCTTGCTTGTCTTCACCAGGTATCCCACGGCCCATAAGTCAACCGCAGTCGTGTGGGATCCACCTTCCATAAAAATATCTGAAGCGTGTTCGTCGTGCGTCAAGTGATCGCCGCTGGGATATTTCTGCGGACTTTGAGCTGCATCAGCGAAGTCGATCAAAAACCATTCAACGCGGTCGATATGCTTGATCACGTTAGACCAACGGATGTCTCTGTGCATCCACCCGTTGCGATGGAGGACTACAAGGGCCTCGAGAACGTTCCCGAGCGCGACGAACAGTTCACTCAAGCTGCATGGCTTCATCTCAATGCCGCGGGGCTTAAGTGTCAACCTCAATTGGTCTGAATCCACCGTGACGACTGCATCGGCACAAGGAACCCCATAAGCTTTCAAAGAATCGTAGATCTGCTTCACGCGACGATACTCTTCTTGTGTATGAAAGATCTTATCGACGAAAATCGGACTCAACCGCACCTTGACGCCATTGGCGCGATGGATGTCCATGAACTCGGTCCCTGCCGAGGCCGGACAGTTTTGCACAATTGCCGGGAAAAGCAGACACAAATTCAGAAGTGCCAATACAAGTCGAAAACGTTCCGGCGCATGCTGCAAGTTAAACCCTCCAATAAGGTGGGTTTTAACGTTGCCCGTGACGTCTTGATAGATAGCAAATAATTCTAGCTCGAAGCCCGACGCAGCATAGCCAAACACATACGGCACTCCACCGTAGGACCACACCAGCGTTTTAAAGAGCTCCTCACGAGGCACAGTGATAGAAGTACGAGGTTCTTTCTCCTCACCACGAAAAACACAGATATGATCCAAAGCAAACAAAAAGTCGGGTCGCTTCAAACCTGACGAGGATTTCCTGCTCGAATCCCGGTTGATGTAAGCACGCCTAAACACAAACCCGAGCACCACACGGATAATTGAATCCCAGAAATAATGAAATGCACTCTCTGTGGCATCCCCATCCACCTGCGGGTACAGGAACGCAGCGCTAAACACCGAATCTTTTAAAAATTCGCACGGCGAAATGTCGTTTAGCTCGAACAATTTATCTCGAAGGAGTTGGCCTAGTATCAATGGACTCGACCAAGCTTGAAACACAGACTGCGGTAACCCAATCTTTACAGGGAGAGGTTGTCCGATAAATTCATTTAGATCTCCGCGTGTCGGCAGTAGCGTAAGTTTTGCAACTTCACTATGTTGAAATCTCGACAGCCAGAAGTCCGACCCATCAGAAATAGGCGCACTACTTGTCCCAGGAGGCAACGCCACCAGCACGTGAACAGGTGTGTTCATCGACTCGACATCCTCTAGCGTGGGTACGAACTTGACGTCCTTCTCCGACAAGCCAACCAAGCTGAGCGGCGCTCCTGCAACGCCCAATAGCTTCAAATCACTCGTGTCACTGACACCGTCCTTCACGTCGTTCTCCGTTAGCCACACCCCAGCGCCTTTCTTCTTCTTCGCCAGGAAGAGCTGCAGGTTCTTGGCGTCGCATGTGATCGTCGATGCGTTCTCCTCCTTGACCGCCTTCTTTAACGCGGAAACCGACGCACTCTCGTCTATGTCCACCTCGAATGCGCTTCCCGCCACACCAACAATCGCGCAGAAGGGGTCACCATATCTCTGAGTCTGGTACGAGCATACGCTTTTCTAACCAAAAATAAACACTTTTTGGTGAGCGGTAGACATAATTTGACACGACCAAACACTTATG